AATTTACAGAAAACCCAAGGTGATTCAGAGATGAGGCAAACTAGACTATACCCTTACGCGTCTGGTATTAATGACCAATTCTTATCATTAGGAAATGCAAACAACTAAAATCTAGAGCCAGGTCTAGCTGAAGAAATTGTCCACATGTTCTGTTACTGTCGGGGATGTTGCTTTCTGAATCTTGGTTTGTTGCCAGTCTCTCTTCCTCTCCTTTGCCTTCAATAACACTTCTATACATTAGAACATATGCATCTTGATGTGTGGGTTTGCAATACAGATTGCAGAGCCTTTTCAGCCTCTTATCTGCAAATATGCAACTTCTAATTGATAAAAACAGTCTTCACCTAGGATATTTTGTTTTTATGTGTTTTTTTTTTTTTTTCACTTTTGAGGGACTTTTATGTTCTTCAATACTGGCTTTGTGAAATGCTTCCTGTCAGTTGCTTATTCGCTGAGAATGTATTCTCTTTGCATGGTGCTGCTCCTCTGTCTCTTAGATCTGAACATTGTAGGATTATACTGTTTAGGTCTTTTCTTGGCTGGTCACACCATGTGTTGTCTCTGGAATAAAGATTAATTTCTGGATTGGATCTCAAATGTACAGTTCCTTCATCTGTGCATACGTCCTAAGACTTATCTTTTTAAGATCCTCTCTGTCTGTGAACAGCAGGCCTTTATGATTAACCTTTGTTCCCCTCTGCCCTTTCTGCACTCTTCTCGCCTTCTCAGTGCAGTTGCTTCTAACCTAGGTCTCCAGAAGTCCCCAGGAACAGCACATCCTCTGTGCTCCTCTGGCACTTAGTGCACACCTCTTTGAGTACTCCATTTATTTGCTTATGCCTGTCTTCCTTCTAGACAGTGAATTCCTTGAAGGCAAGACATTTTTACTCCCCTTGGGTCCAGCATAGTCTCTTGGTGAATAGCGGTATCTCAATAAATGTTCACCGAGTAAGACTCCTGTCCTTTGTGGCTTAGAAGGGCCCTGGTGGCACATTTAGCCACATGATAAGCAGAGAAGCATAGCTAACCTGACCTGTTAGGAGCTGCACAGTGACTCACAGGTAATTGTATCTATATCTTAAATAGTCTGTCTGGGGGGAAATACATGAGCTTTATTATAAGTAGCATTTTGTCCTGCTGGTATGGGGAATTTTAATTATAGAATTAGAATTTCATAAACACTTTTCTGCTATTGTTATATTTTGCTCTGACCCCCTGGTGTCATGTTTTCTGCCATATTAGTTGCCCCTTAACAACTATGTTCTTCTTTATAACATACTGTATAATTCATTTACATCTATCATGGGTTCTAAAACTGACATTTTGTCTTGCTACTTTTATACTTACTAGCTTCTCATTATGAAATAGGAAAGTGTTGATACCACTCATTACAGGTGTTCAATAGGTACCTTTGTATCTTGATGAGAGGCATTTTCAGACTATTCTTTCTTTCTAGACCCCAGTACCAAGTGAAATTATAAGTAATATGTGCTTTGTAATAAAGAATTTTAATTGTCCAGATGACCTATTAAAACATATTTTAGATTTCATTGTATTAGCAAATCTTTAAGTTCACGAGTCTGAATGCATTCATTTGCTCTCTCTCCCATTATGAAGCACCACAGACTAGACAGCTTAAAAAAGGAAGAAATATTATTTCCTCACAATTCTGGAAGCTAGAAGTCCAAGATCAAGGTATTGCAGGTTGCTTTTCCTGAGCATTCCTCTCCTTGGCCTGTTTTCTTCTGTTGCCTTCAGCTGGTCTTCCCTCTGAGTCTCTATGTGTCCCTTAGAGTCTCCTGTTACCAGGACACCAGACATATAGAATCAGGGACCGCCCACATGATAGCATGCACTACAATGACATCTTTAAAGTCTCTGTCTCTAAATACAGTTACACTCTGAGGTCTTCAATATATAAAAATTGGGGGAGGTTGTTGGGTCCCAGCCGGGATGAGCCTCCCCAACCACCCCCGGAGATCATAATAGGAAGAAGACATCTTGCCACTTGTGTGAGTGGCTTAACTGATTAATATCCACCCTGATCGCAGTGGCACATGTGAGGGAAATTTCCTCCTGCCCCCAGGCCAACATCCTGGGATTAAGGGTATAAAAGGGAGGCTGGAAAGGATAAGAGAGAGAGAACATTTTGCTGCAACCATCTACGTGTGCTGACTCTTCAACCTCGACGTCCCCCGCACAGACTCGTATCCCTGCCGTGCGGGCGCGGCAGAGGTGGGAAGAGAAAATCATAAGTGAATAATGTACAGTTTAAATATCCCCCTCGGGTATCAAAGAGATGCTTAAATTGCTGAAATCCTTTTCAGCAACTAGTCAATAAATATGTCTACCTCTTGCTTTTTCATAGATCAAATGCTGCTTTCCTTTCTGCTCATGTCCTTGCTGATTTCTTGAAGCCACTGGTTTCCCAGACTAGTTGGGGAGGAACGAATGCTGATGCTCCTTTCTCTTTTGGAATTCTGGGATCAAGTGTCAGAAAACAAAAGCGTACTTGGATACTCTTCTTTAAAAATAATAAAACATGGCTACTCTTCATTGAGTGCTAACTTTGGATGATTCCCTGTGTTGTAATTATCATAAGCCTGTAGAGCAGAGGTTCCTACTTGATTTATGGGGAAACTGAGGCTCAGAGAAATGAAATATCTTGCTCTGGATACTTCTTATTTTGCTTTTATTCTAAGGTACCTGTCTAGACCTAAAACACTATCAATTGTGAGATTAGAATGAAAGAACTAGAGTTTCAATGAAGCTCATAGCCACTTCGCTTGCATCAATAGATAGCGGTCTAAAATCTAAGGGTCCCCAAACCTAAGACTCCCATGACTGAATTCCACCTGAGTACAGGTTTTGAAGGCATAGTAGAGTCTACCTCTTAAACTGGGTTCATTGATTTAGGCTACTTTAGACTAGAACCTTTGGAGTTTTGGCCTGGGTTCAATAATTGTTGTCATGGTAACCAGGATTATTCAGACTGGCTTGAAAGAAAGTTTCAGGATGGACAATGGAACAAGCAAGACATACCGTATTTGTTTTAATAAAGGGATTATAGGACTGTCCTAAAGGGAGTTTCTTGGAATGAGCTAGAATACTGGTATCTGTCCTTGCTCAGTATTTGAATCAAAAGGGAATTTCAGAAGCTTGGTGCCTGGGTTCCAACCCTAGGGATCTTTATCGAGAGCGCTGGGGGCTTAGATATCTGTAGTTTTTATCAGTTCCATATGTCTGATGTATAGCCCAAGTTAATTTAAGAGCAAATGAGCTAGGTCAGGGATTGGCAAAACTATAGCCCAGGAGCCAATTTTGTTCTGCTGCAGACTTTTGTATGGCCTTGAACTGAAAGTGGCTTCTCACTTCAAATGGTTGAAAGAAATCACAAGAGTAATATTTGTGACATATAAAACTTATATGAAACTTAAGTTTAATCAGTAAAATCAAATTTTACTGGGACACAACCATCCTTGTTTATTCATTTACATGTCAGCTGTGGTTGCCTTCATCAAATGCAGCAGAAATTAAGAAGTCGTAAGAGAGCTACAAAGTCTAAACTCTGGTCCTCTGGAGAAAATGTGTGCTGACCTGAGTTAGGCTAAGTAGAGGTCTTCAACAGGGCTGCTTTAGTACTGAAAGGGAGACAGCGCTTTATTTAACTTGTGTGTTTGTGTAGTGTATTTTGTGTTTTAACTTCCTGTGGGCTTTTTTATTTGTTTCCTAGCAGAGTGACCTTGGTTGATGGATCTGCAGCAAGCATGTCCTACATTTTTTTTTTTAAATCCAGGATTAATACATGCTTTCTTCCCCAAAACATACAGGTATAAATAACATCATGTCCACATATAACTTACTTTACTGAAGAGCTTCTAAATCCCTTCCCTAACCCCTCTCCCCACCAGCCATCTATTCTGTCTTTCACCAAGCCTCCTGTACCTTTTTTGCATTTAATAATAGCTGGATGCCTCAGAGCATTTCCTTTTTTGATCCAACGTTGGGAAAAGAGAATAATGTTTATAGGAACGATTTTAGTCTAAAAATATAGTTGAATAAGATTAATAAAATAGCAAATTATCCTATTATATTCTTTCTTTTTTACCTTCTAGTTTTCATCCACTTGAATTTAGAAAACAAGAAGAACATTCAGGTCAGGAAAATTAACAGAAAATGAAAATAAATGACAAAGAGAATCTGTACTTTCAGGTTGTGTTCTTACAGAAAAGCAGCTGCTATTTGCTTCCAAACCAGCCTGTCCAGTTCAGAAGGAGAGACTGTAATCTCATGGTTGGATGCACCACATTAGGGCTTTCTTCATTTTGCTTTACTTATAATTTTGATGGTAGTGATTATGAGGGTGAGAGTAAGAAGTTGATCCATACTTGTCAGGTTTGTAAGCATATGATAGGGATTTTTCCAAAATGAACTTATATCACTTGAACTAATGGAGAAAAAGTGATTAATTTCCAAACAGTCTATTACTTATCACTGCATGGTAGTTTTTGACAACCTTGAGAGTCTCCTTGTAAAACTGCTTGGTGTCTTCGGATCTGTAGGCCAGACACATACATAGTCACATGTTCTCATTTTTATCCTTCCTTCATCATAGTGAAGTGGCTACAATCCCAGGCATATTTATCCCACAGGCCCATGGAGGGAAGCCAACAATGGCATTACAGATGGCAGTGTGCCCAAACTGTCTTTAAAAAAAAGCATCGTCTCTGCTGCTAATTAAAATTTCAGGATGAGTGATGGTCACTTATATATATTAACAAGGGTTGTGAAAAGGCTGAGAGCAGATATGTTAGAAGTTACCTTCTTATTCCTAAGAATTCATGGTTAAATTTAAATGTCCTTTAACTGAACCCTCCGTCTACTCTATTGTAGATGATGGATAGTTTGGGCAGGAAAGAAAATGTGTCGGTAATATTTGTATGTTTTGTATTGCATAGTGGGGACTCAGCTTGTTTTCCTTTGTGTTTTTGTTATTTTAGGGTTCTGTACATTGGCCTGGCCTGCAATACTGCTCGCTATATTTATATTTCCTACCTGGAAAATGCCTGGACAGTTCTCCCCATGGAAGTTCTTCAAGGTAAGCTAATAGCTGGAATTACAATTACTGCTCTATCAAACTGAACTATGGCTATGTGAAAATTCAGTGTTTTTCTGCACATGACTCTCCAAAGGAAGGGTGGAGCTACTGTCTTAAATGATTTTCAGGTGGTTGTTAAGGAAGAGGTGACATCAGAGAGACTGATTCTTCATTTACTGTTCTGTATTTACCAAGCCAAACAACATTGGATTTGACCCACACCCTGTGATTAAACAAAGAAAGGAAATCTAGAATAAACCCCTATGTACAACTGTAAGGCATACAGCCAAAGGTAGTTTTAAAATATAATTTTTTAAATAAAACCTTATTAAGTTACCATTGGTTTGCAGAGCTATTTAAACTTTGAGTTTATACCTTACATTTTGGTGCTTTTATAAATTAACTATACTTATTGAAGTTTGTCAGTTATTTTTATCATATCTACTGCTTATAACCAAAACTGTAGTTAGACAATTGTCTAATTATAGGCCTTTTGTAGTTAGACTGTTGTCTAATTATAGACCTTTTAAATCTTTGCCCAGATATCCTGACCTGAGATCCTCTGCTGGCTTTAATGCACTGTTTTCCTTCAACGTATAACTTGGAACAAATTTCTAGGAGGCTTTTGCCATACAGCTTAAGGTGCTGAAAACATGGATTTCTATTCAAAGCTCATATAATCCAGACTATATCCTGAAAATCCCTGTTATCAGCTTAGTTAACCCATTTGGTGGTTGAGATTATGATTAAAGTAAAGGTTCAGAACAAGATTACTAGAGTTGAGATCTCATGGGACAGTCTAGGCTCCTAAATCACTAATTGTATTATATAATCTGTACTTGCACTCATTTTCATTAGCTTCATAGATTGCCATATTCCCCTAACCCTGAGGATGCAAATGCAGCACAATCAATGCAATTCATTTCTTGTTATGATATCTAAGATGACAGATCCACAATTATAACTCGAGACAAAATGTATACCAAATATAAGTTCATTCATCACATTCCATCATATTAATGAAAAGAAAACTTATTCTAGTGGAAAAGAGATGTAATTTATGTTCATATTAGTTATAAAAATTAAACATCTCTACCCTTTAAAGTTTGGTGCAATGATGTAATTGGTGAAAGACTATATAAATCATAGATAATGGAAACAGTACTAAAAAATAAATGTTTTTTTTTTTTTTTAAAGATTTATTTATTTGTACATACAGAACTGGGGTACAGGCCAGAGGCTCAGGGGCGGTGAGAGGCTTCACCAGAGACAGAGTGGGGAGCAGAACAGGCAGATCATCAAAGTACACTGCTGAGGGGAACAGTGGGCGGGTCAGGAGAGGTCTGCCACGCCATGTGGTCACCTCCGGGGCAGGCGGGAATCGAACTCATGCGAAAGTGGCTTCAGCTTCTCAGTGCAGTGCTTTAACCCGCTGCGCCACCAGGGAGGGCCGTTTTTTTTTTTTTTTAATAACAAATAGAACCCTGGAAGAGTCTGGAAGTGGGCACATATCTAGTATGTTATTTAAGAATAGCAAAGCTTATGGTCTTCCCTGGTGGTGCAGCAGGTTAAAACACAGCTCTATGAAGCTATCCATAGCCACTGCAGCATGAGTTCAATCCCAGCCAGGGAGGTGACCCACATGGCATGGCAGACGTCTCCCATCTCGCCCACTGTGCATCTTGGCAGAGTATTTCAGTCAATCTGCCTGTTCTGCTGCCCACTCTATCTCTGGTGAATCCATTCACCCTCCACCTCTGGTTTGTACCCCAGTGCCTGTATGCATAAATAAATCTTAAAAAAGAATAGCAAAGCTTAAATATGAACTGTAGGAAAGAACTGTGCAACCACAAGGTTTATACAGTAGAGTTCTTAGGATTCTCCACCCTTGTTTCTATTATATTCTATGAGGCAGGATCCTTACTTAACTTCATACTTTATTTATTGATATGTGACCATGTGCCATCTCTAACAGAAAAGAAAGACAAAAGAAACCTGGTATGCCTAAAGAAAAGAAAGTATGTTGTATAATATATGCATATACTTATTTCCTCTTAATCAAATTAGATTGAAAAGGACAGTTTGCACAAGTGGCTTAAGAGAGCAAAAGAGAAAAACGCTTTAGTAAAATGCTTACAGGAACAAGAGAGTAATTTTATGATGGAAAAAACAAATGCTGTTGTGCATCAAAAACTTTTTCTTTTAATTTATCAAAGGTATATTAAGTAGCTACTTTGAGTCTGGGCAGTATGCTGGACTGGGAATGTATGAAGAGCACATATAAACGTAAGCAGCAAGGTCTGACCATCTGCTCTAGAAACCAGTATAGCATAATTACTATACAGCGTGTTAGATGGAATCAGAAAAATGCAAGGTAACAGATAATGGGCTCTTTGAAGGGAATTAGGTGAAGAAGGAATTAGGTGATTGAAGACATTATTGAAAGAATCCCCAAGGAAATCCATGTGAGCTGGATTTTGAAGGGTGGGCAGGAATCTACCAGGTGGCCGAAGAGAGTGCCTTTAGCAGCAAGCAGAGCTGTGAGCGAAAGCAAGAAGTGGGAAGCAGAATGGTGCTCGCAGGGGATGTAGCGTTAATGCCCCAGTTCATCTGGATGGATTTGATTTCCCAGCTGCTGAATTGGCCATATTTTTATAAGATTTGTGTGCACCTCAGGGCAATTATCCCAGAATTTAGGAAGCTGGCCAAATTTTGCATCTGAAGAGGAATCCTGCTTTTTTGTGGCAGGCTACGGCTCATAGCTTTGTGTTTCGTTTTATTTCTCCTCATGTGAGTGGAAACCCGGTTGCTGAACAGACCCAAGTAAAGAGGGGATCTGCAAATACAGTCTCTATTCTAACAGAGGTCCCTTTACCAGCTCCACAGAGCCCTTTGTGTCTAAATCTGGAGAACATGGTTTCATTCCCTGACAGAAGCGTGTGCTGAGTATTTTGGCAGTATAAGAAAACCAAAATCCTTGCCTTTGTTTGACCCATGTCCACTTACAGAAAATAGTTGATAATCTAGGCAGAATAAATTCTGCATCAGAGGATTATCTTTTTGATTGAAAAAGGCTTGTTTTGGGCAATTTATATTCTCCCACCTTCATAAGGCTTGTCCAAATGACTTTCAAGTTCCTGTACTTAAAGTGACTCTACTGAGGGTGTAGTAAAGACGAGACACAATGATGACAAAACACTGAGTGATTTAATTACAGGACAAGCACACTATCATGATACACAGCCCTTAATTCCTCGATGGGAATCATTACCTGGTGATTCCCAAGCACTAGTTTTAGGAATCAGAGGTTGAGAAATGGGATATTGGCTCCCATCAATGATAATCTTGACTCTGATAATTCCGTGATTTCAAACACAAGAGGGTCTTCTTTAAAAACAAAGCTGAGGGCCCTCCCTGGTGGCTCAGTGGGTTAGGACACAGCATGGCAAGCTAACCCTTCAGTGTGAGTTGGGTGGGGAGTGAGAGGGGGGCGGTGATCAACATGACACCACAGAACTCTCCTGCCTGGTCCACTGCTCCCCTCAGCAGTGTATTTCAGTCCATCTGCCTGTCCTGCTCTCCACTCTGTCTTTGGTGAATCCTCTCACTACCCCTGCACTTCTGGCCTGTACCCAATTCTGTATGCATAAATAAATACATCTTTAACAATAACAACAAAAACAGAGCTGAGGTCTAAGTCTTCAACCTATCACCACTTACTTCACCCTGTTAACACTTGAGAACTAGTAACCCCTGGTGGGCAATTGAGGCTAGGAGATAAGGGTGCTTTAGTTCATATCTCCAGCTGCCTTCTCTTCCTCTTTGGAAGTTGTAACAAAAGGAGAAGGGTTGCTAGTTTTCTTTCCTTCACTCCCTGGGACTCTTGATGGTCTCAGCTTTCCTCAACTCAGGATGAATGGGTAATAATTAACAGATGGAATAGGATGAATTACATTTCTTGCTTTCTAGGTTCCTTGGAAGGCTGTGGCAAGGATTGCTGGGGATTAAGGTTAAACTGTTGGCTGCTGCTGGGACCTGTGAGATTGTTTCTTTTCCATGATCTTTCTCACAGTTCTCACATCTCCCACCTTTCTATCCTTTCAGCAGTTTAGCTACCACTTGCAGCAAGCATGTTGCTAGGAGGCAACTGTGGCACCATACTACAAAACAAAAGGCATACTTCTTGCCATAAGGAACCGGAGATTTATTTTAAATAGAGACAGTGGGCTTAAGTGCTAGGTAAGGTGGAAGGGCTGGGATCATTTATATTTTTCAAGATGTCATAGTAGAAACCCATAGGAATTTTTTCCTCTGTATGAGATTTTAAACATTCACAATCGTGGTCAGGAATAGAAACATTTGACAAAAATCAAACCCACATTTGCTATGCTTCATCCTATGTGAAGATTGCCAAAATTTAAGATGAATGTGATCAAAATTATTCTGGCTACTAAAATGTACTTAAGTCAGGCCAGTCTCGTCCAGTTAGTCCTGTTAACTAACTAAAGATATCCTTTTGAGGTACTAATAGCTCAAGCACTGAAGACTGAAATGAGTTCTGTATCAGACCGTTGTCTACAGGAAGCTTAGTCAGTGGGGCCAAGGTAAAATTTTGATGAAAGATGGCTTTTTAATGTCACCTATAGGAGAGCTTGAGTTGACATTAGTAAGCTTTGCTCTCCTATTTATTGTGCCTATTCAGCTTTCCTCCTCATAATGTTCTAAAAGAGCATGAAGAAATTAGAAAGGATGGCTCTCCAGTGCTTATTTGACAGTGGCAATTCTAGAGATACTTCAATCTGACTTAACCCTTGAAACAGAAGTAGCTTGTCACATGAACATGCAAGACAGACAATTTCTCTACGTTTAGCCTTTCAGTCAATAAGTTGACATATGAAAGTCATTAGTGTTATTGCTAAAAATAACTTTTAATCATAAAAGCCATAAAAATTGTAATTTTTTTTGGCTACTCCCATGCTTTACAATAAATCTTATAGAAC